ATGTATTTGAAATAATATTAACACTTATGTTAATAGGATTTTCCAATTATCGGGAATCTATGAATTTCGAATTCTCAATATGTCCCGACCATCAAACTAATTTGATTGCAATTCATTTATCGAAGGGTTGGAAATTAAACAATACACAATTCCATTTTACACTCAGAATTCTATAGAGGGTGGAATAAAAAAATGCAACAAAGTCAAACGCCATAATTTCTAAATTTTCTTTTAAATTTTATTGAATGAAAGCAAAAAATGTCGAAAATAGCATCAAATTATAGAATAAGTTTGGATTTATTCGAAAGGTGGCCATTTGGCACGAATTATGGCCTTCAAACGGCCAATGAAACCGTCACACGCTGCCCGAAGGTTGCTCTGCGGTATTCTGGCCCACTCCTGGCAAAGCGCTTGCATGAGGTGACCGACACTTTGGTATTTTTTAGTGCCAAAACTTGCTTTCCAAAATACTCCAGACACAATAGTCCATCGAATTGTATCCGAATATTTTGGTGGCCATTGTGCGCTGCAAATGGAGCGAGGAACCTCATTTTGTAACCATTCTTGGGTGGCGCGTGCTGAGTGCGATGGTGCTGAGACCTGTTGGAATGTCCAAGATCTGCGGCCAAAATGTTTGCGTGCCCAAGGCTTTAATACACCCTCCAGAATATTTCCTCGATAATACGACCGGATTAATACGAGCAGAGAGCGACCATCGGCTGTTATGAAGGTTCACACCATCACCATGACCGGTGCTTGAGTTCAGGTGGCCAACCGAAGGTGCACATTTGCAGCTGACCCCTTTTTTGCAAATAAACATGATCATTTTGTTTGTATTCAAAGTGCTGGACAACGAATGTTTTCTCATCGGAGCAAACCAAATTCGGTAGTTCAACACTTTTGGCCAAGCGAAGCAACTCTTTAGCTCTTTTGAGTCTATTTTCTTTCCGTTGCGGTATTAGTTCTTGCACTTTTTGGAATTTCAGTGGCTTCACCCCGAGCTCGTTTTTCAATATTTGCCGAATGGAATATTGCGATGTGTTCAGCTCACGAGCCATTTTTGGGCCACTGCGACGCGGGTTTAGATCAAGTCGCTTCTTTACTTTTCGAACCATTTCTGGTTTTCTTCCGTCTCCTTCCTTGAAGTCGGGCTACGCTACCAGTATCACGGTAACGAGCGATGGTACGAGACACAAAATATTTATTCACATTTAAATGCTGGAGTGCTCTAACGATAGCCACTTGTGGTTTTCCAGCCAAATATAAATAAATCACAAAAAGAAATTCTCACCAAAATGCTTTTGTAGGCTTGTAAAAAAATATAATCAGCTGTCACTGAAATAATTTTAACAGCTGTCGGTCGAGCGCCTTGGAAATGACAGCAGTCTGAAGTTGGTTGCAGTTTTTTCATCTCACCCTGTAATTTGAATTTCCCACCCTTATTTTGTCTCCTTCCTTTGTCGGAAATAAATAATCACAAAGTATCTGCTTCCAATACAAACTCAATAAGATTGCATTTATTTTCTTAAATACACACACACACACACCCACACATCAAATAACTCAAATCAATAATATGATTATCATTTAAATAACATATCAATAACAGTTGTCTTGCATTCCAAAGATTTCATTACCTCTCCCAGCAACTCCATCCCTGCACCCTCAACTTGGCAAATTGACATGGAACATTGTTATCCGTAGTCGTAGTCAAAAATGATTGCAGCTCAATGTCTCTGGGTGAATTTCAAATCAATTAACAAAATTAAATTGTATTGGTTGTGTGTATGTGCAGATGTAAGTGTACGCGTGTGTGTGGCTTCGAAGGAATGCAAATGCTTCAAAGATGAAGAAGAACAAAATTAAGAAAACTCAATTGATGCAAATTGAGGTATGACAAGTACATGTTAGGGAATGTTTGTGAGAGCTCTCGTAAATCGACACAAGGACATTGTAAGGGATGTGAGTTTTTTGGTAAGGGATGTGAGTTTTTCTGGATTCTAGAAATGGGATGAGATCAAGGACAAATAGAGACTTTGTGGAGCAAAAAATAAAACATTATTCCAAAGATTAACTAACGGAATGATTGAACACTAGGCCTCTAAAAACATCAAAAAGAATCCTCTTTAATAGTGGCTACTTAAAAACTATTTGACATGGAGCACAAATCACAGGGCCACAATATTTAGTACACTTCTGTACAGCAGTATTTATAACAAATTAAAAAAATAAGCAAAAAAACATTAAGTTTGGCCGGCCCGAACATTTAATAACCTCCATCATTGGGACAAAAAAAAAATTATAAAAGTATCTGAATTCAAACGTGTCCCCCTTTAAACTACAAAGCCCGCTTAAATAATGCTATTAAACTTTTCAAAAAAAAAAAACCAACAAGTGGGTGAGGCCGTTATATGGAGGCCGTACCAAAACGGGTACCTATATAGGCAATTTTATACTTCAAGGATTTTCATCTACAAAATCTTCTTAAATACCACATTTGAAACTATTTTGTGGGTAAATATGACAAGGATTATCAAAATTCCGAATATCGGTGGATATCGTTATATGTGCGCTATAGGAAAACGTGAACCTATGTACTCAAAGGTCCCCCACCGGAGCTAGAACCCATTATGAACGACAACTAATAATTTCTAGACAAAAATCTTCAAGATACCAATAACAGGAGGTACTGTTATATAGGGAATATACAAAAACGTGGACATATGTGTACAATATTTCGCCACCAGAGCTAGAACCCATTATGACCTACATATATCAATTTTTGGACAAATCCGAGGAAAAATGTGTCAAAAATCATCAATATATCGAATATCGGGAGCTACCGTTATATGGGGGCTATACCAAACCGTGGACCTATATACACAATGTTCGTCACCGGAGCTAGAATCCATTATAATCTACAAATACCAATTTTGAGACAAATTCGTCGAAAAATGTTTCGAAAATCATCAAGACACCGAATATCTGTCATATTTTAAAGCTCTACATTAACTAATGTGGGCAGTATAGTGATTTCAACAGAATATTTTATGCTGATCATGAATATACAGGCTGTGATAAAAAACTGTAGCAAAGTCAAGCGCCATAATTTTTACATTTTTTTTAATATTTTATTAAATGAAAGCAAAAAATATCGGAAATTGCATGAAATTTTAGAATAAGCTTAGATTTGTTCGAATTGGTCACCTTTGGCACGAATAATGGCCTTCAAAGGGCCAATGAAACCGTCACACGCTGCCCGATTTTGGTGATCTGCGGTGTTTTGATGATCGACACTTTGGTATTTTTTAGTGCCAACTTTGCTTCCCCAAATACTCCAGACACAGTTGTCCAACGGATTGGTATCCGGAGATTTTGGTGGCCATTGTGGGCTGGAAATTAAGCGATGAACCTCATTTTGTAACCATTCATGGGTAACGCGTGCTAAGTGCAATGGTGCTGAGTCCTGTTGGAATGTCCCAGGTTTGCGGCCTAAATATTTGCGTACCAAAGGCTTTAATACACTCTCCAGAATATTTTTGGGATTCTGATGGCAAGGTCGGCAAATATGAGCGGAGAGCGACCATTAGCTTGTTTGGCGGGCCACACTATCTCCATGACGCGTGAGTTCTGGTGGCAAACCGAAGGTTCACATTTTAAGCTGACCTCTTTGGCAAGTAAACACGATCATTTTGTTTGTTTACAAACTACTGGAAAACGAATGTTTTCTCATCGGAGAAAACCTAATTCGAAAGTTCACCACTTTCCGCCAAGCGAAGCAAATCTTTAGCTCTTTTGAGTCTGTTTTCTTTCTGTTGCGGTGTAAGATCGAGCACATTTTTTCAATATTTGACGAATAGAATATTGCGATATATGCGGCTCACGAGGCATTTTTCGGCCACTGCGACGCGGGTTTCGATCAAGTCGCTTCTTTACTTTTCGAACCATTCCTGCTGATGTTGCTGTTTCCTTCCGTCCACTTCCTTGATGTCGGACTACACTACCAGTATCACGGTGACGAGCGATGGTACAAAAGCTGGAGTGCTCTAGATAGCCACTTGTGGTTTTCCAGCCAAATATAAAGAAACGCTTGAATTCCATCACAAATATTTTTTTTCTGGAAATTTCTAACCAAAATGCTTTTGTGCCCTTGTAAACAATATAATGAGCTGTCACTGGAATAATTTTAACAGCTGTCGGACGAGTGGCTTAGAAATGACAGCAGTCTAAAGTTGGCTGCAGTTTTTTCATCTCACCCTGTATATTCTTGATCAGCATTAAATTCTATGGCCATTATGCGATGACTGTCCGTTTATGGAAATCACTCTAGCTTCTAAACGAAATTAAATAGGTTAATAAAATCTTACTCAGATGTGTTTTAGGTCTGCAGGACCTTTGGTATTTAAAATGGGCTATATAAGTCCATTCATTTGGTATAGACCGCATATATCTGTACCCACATACGTATTTTTTTTTTTTTTTTTTTTTTTTTTGGTGTTTTAGTCACAATTTCATACCGAATTTGCTTCAAACTGGGAGTATGTGTTCTCAATATTCCTACATATTCTCATTCATCCTTGTAGAAAACTATAGATATAGGTTCAAGTTTTAGTAAAAACCCCATATAACTGTACCTCCAGATATTCAGTATTTTAATGATTTGTGGCACAGTTTTCACCGGAATTATTTAAAATTTGGAGTACAATGAAAACAAATCCTTCCGAGGATATTTTTTTCCACAAATTTAATTTTTTTAAAAGAGACTGAGTTCATTGTCATTATCATGCAATGAATGTGGGTAGATTGTGAGCCAATTAAGTTCCCCAGAAACCTCTTTTGTAAAACACTTTTTGATTATTTACGCCCCTTAACATCTGAAATCACTCTTTTCAAAGAAAATGGATATCCTTTTAGCTAATAAGTTTATAAAATAATTTATTTTGCAATTTATTTTAAAGCCTCTCTAACCCTTACCCACATTTCTCTTCTTTTCGTTACAGATTTTTATATAAACGCCTACGACAACAAAGAAGACTTACAAATGTTCTGTAATTTAAACAAATATTTTTGATGTGTGGTTAATTAAGGTCTGAACCGCACTCATACACACCTCCACACCAAAAACCACACACTCACATAATTCTTTGACCACATCAAAACTTCATTGAAAGAAAGGAAGAAAAAGAAACAAAACATCAACAACAACAACAGCCGCTGCAAAAGGATACAAAGCAGAAGAAGGGAGAAATTATACAACACTTAGCTAGCCACTTGCATTTACACAGATACACACACACACACTCACTTACTCACTGTGTGTGTGAACACTTTTACTTATCACTTTGATAAGACGACAGTTGTAACCACACACACACACACACACACACATACTTACACAAAAAGAACTCAGAGTGGCTCCAACAAACGCAAAATGTGTTTTCAACAACATCCGGAAGAGTGGCTGCCATCAACAAAGTCCTCGACAGCAACAACATCATCAGCATCAGCAACAACATCGTTATTAGCAACTAAAACTGTAACACAAACACATTCCATCTCCGAAACTATTTCTCATTCATCATTACCCACAACAACAACAAGAAGAGCAACACCAAGCAAAGCAAATGCAACTGAAACAATTTCAGCCACATTAAAGAGAGTGCCAGACTTTGTGAGTTGTAGCCACCAAGATACAACCACTTTCACATCAACAACAGCAACAGCAACAACAACAAGATGGCAACACAACCATCAACAGGAGCAACCAGCAAGAGTGGGGAAGAGGCGGTCACACTTTAATGCCATAATGTCACCCACATCCATCAGATCCATCCGCCGCCACCCACTCTTAATACTCTTAGCCATCATCTGCCTTACAGTACAAATCTCCAGTGCGTATCTGATAATTGTCCATGAAGATGCTGCACCTGGAACGGTGATATTCAATGCGTCGGTGTACAAATTGGGCTCGGAGCGCCATTACAAAATTAATGCCCACAAATCGGCCCATTTTGTACATCATCTAGTCTCGGTCAATCACAAGGATGGCCAGATACAGCTGAAGAAATCCCTGAAATGTGATGGAATCTATTATCCGAATCTGTTCACCTTCTATGTGGACTCGACATCGAATCGTTTGCGTAGCATTGACTATTACAGTTTGCCCATACGGATATTTGTGTCGGGCCACACGTGCAACGAAGATCGTAGGGTGGAGGAGGAAATTCATGGCCGACACTATGAGGAGGAGGATACAGGCTATTCGAAACGTAGACGTCGAAGATTTATTGAGGAGCTCGACCCGTTGGAAGAATATGAGCGCAGTTATGGCGAGTTTCGGGACACAAACAGGCAAAGCAATTCGCTAACACTCCAACCGTACAGCCACAACCATTCCCTCAATGAATTTCGGGATGGTGATCTCATTTTTGGCAACTCCTTTGACAATGAAATGCGCCACCGGATTTTGAGTCGCAAACGTAGATCCATGCTCTCCCTGGAAACATCCTCACCATCTTTCTCCTCTTCTCTGTCCTATGGAAATTTACATCGCCGCATTTCGGAGGCCAAACAATGGATATCTGAAACCTATGCCTCCTATGCCATACACACCACAGATAAATGGAACCAAATCTGCCTGCGAAAATCCCAGTTCATCAACAATCTGAATGCCTTTCTGCCACGTTCCATATGCCAGCATTGCAAGGTCAACTTCCTCGATGTGAACGATGAACGTTTTGTGATCGAACATCAAAATCGTGATTTGGTGGCCAGTCGTGATGTTTGCATTCATGAATCGATGTGGAAGGTTAGTATAACCTTCAACATACGCTGTGATCGCAGTGACATCGTGGACTCAGATCATCGTCTGAAAATCGTCTACCACTATCAGGAATTCAATGACACCGACATTGCAAAACGTGTAAGGCGAGAGCTGCGCAATCAATCGCCCTACTTCGAGCAGGCCTTATATGTGGCCTCGGTGCTGGAAGAACAGCCAGCGGGGTCTAGTGTGACCACAGTGCGAGCCCGTGATCCCGAAGATTCTCCCGTAGTCTATTCAATGGTTTCCCTTCTCGATTCGCGTTCTCAATCTTTGTTTAAGGTGGACTCAAGAACTGGTGTTGTCACCACATCGGCCAGTTTGGATCGTGAATTAATGGATGTTCATTATTTCCGGGTTGTCGCCACCGATGATAGCTTTCCACCCAGGTCTGGCACGACAACGTTACAGGTTAATGTTCTAGATTGCAATGATCATAGTCCCACCTTTGAGGCGGAACAATTTGAAGCGTCGATACGTGAGGGAGCCACCGTGGGATCCACTGTCATAACCTTGAGAGCTACGGATCAGGATATTGGCAAAAATGCCGAAATTGATTATGGCATTGAGAGTATAACAGGTGAGATGACCCATTTTTCTTTTACTTTTTTTAAAAAATCTCACATTCACAGCTAATATTTTACACTTTTTAACACTTTCCCTGTTCCGGAAACTGGAAGAATCAACTATTAATGCAATTTTAACAATCTTTCGCTTTATAAATAAATTTAATAAAATTATCGTACACATATCCAAAACCAGATACCAACATTGACATCAATTTCAAATTTCAGAATTCCAGCACTATCCAATTTAATACTACTTAATACTACATTTCGTACAATTACAGTACATATCTCTGAAACTACCTCCATATGTCCAGGCTATACATAAATAAACAGCATAGTTCCAAATTTCAGATTTCAACCACTATCTCTTCACCCGATACCAAAGTTTATTAAATATAGTACTATTTAGTACTTTTCGTGCACTTGTAGTACAGATTTTCAAAAACACTACTTTATCGCAAACCAACCATCAACAGAGACCTCAATTAAAAATTTCTAAATTCCAGATTCATTCGCTCACCCCAAACAAATCTGTTCCAAATTTAGTACAGTTCACACACTTAGCGCACATATTTCCAAAATGACCTTCATATATCTAACTTACTTTCCAATCTTGATTTTCATACCAAATTTCATTTTTTTTCTCTATCCATTCACATAATAGCAAATGGCACCATTTTAAAAGAGCGGTGCCCTTTTAAAACTTTCGTAAACTTAAAGTACGAATTTCAAAAAACCCTTTAGCACCTCTATCCTTCACTCCATCAATGACTCGTATTCCAAATATTAGAATTCTACCTCATTCCGCTTGTTCAATACAAATATTGAATTTTTAGTATTTTTCGTACCCTTTTAGTAAGGATTTCAAAAAACCCAACCTTATCACAGGCCTACTCACAAAGACTTAGAATTGAGTGACTTCAATTTGTTCACTTATACCCCTGAAAATGCACAGACGACATCTGGTGATCCGAATTTTTCGAAGATAAGACATTCACTAGTCTATGGTCTGGGCATTAATTCTCAGTGAGTTTTTGCACTACTCTTTTAAATATAGATCAACGTACGAGAATTAACGAATTCCTACGGAACTAGTTTATATATAGCAAACACACAATCTCCACAAATATTAGAGTTAAACTCCACTCAACTCTAACTACTGCTGTTATTGCCAAAGGAACGTTATAAACCCCATTTAGCTCACCAGCCTTCAAGAGACGACTGATCTCGATCAACTCTACAAAACATTATTTTATACTGCGCCGTGCATTCCGAAGCCGCCTGTTTTCTAAAGTCGGAGTGATTTAGAACAGCTATTCGTCGCTAGGTGTATTTTATCGCAGTTTGTTTAGGTTGGTATTACCAACTAATACTAGGAGACTGTTTGCCCCTTAAATTAAATTATATTGTATCCAGAAATAAGTACCACGACTTTGGGTCATTACACAGTTAAGGGGTTCACAGTGAATGATCACAGGGAATTTTTAAAGCAAAAATGATTTTACACCCTCCACCTCGGACGGGGGTGTATATTAACTTTGTCATTCCGTTTGTAACATCCTTAAACATTCGTCGTAGACTCCATAAAGTATATATATTCATAATCAGCATAAAATTCTAAGTCGATTTAACGACGATGTCCGTCTGTCTGTCTGTCTCTTTGTCTGTTGAAATCACGATACAGCCCACATTATTTGCCGTGGAGCGCCAAAATTTAGCAGAGCAATTTGTATGTGTCTAGGATGGTTGGTATAACGGTACCTCCCGATATTCGGTATTTTGATGATTTATGCCACATTTTTTCACGGATTTGTCTGAAAATTGGTATTTGTAGGTCATAACAGGTCCCTATACGTGTGGCAAAACAGTGCATGTATAGGTCCACGTTTTGGTATAGCCCCCATATAAAGGTACCTCCCGATATTCGGTATTTTGATTATTTTTGACACATTTTTGCACGAATTTCTCCCTAAAATTGGTATTTGTAGGTCATAATGGGTTGTAGCTCCTTTGGCGAAACATTGCATGCTTAATTCTACGATTTGGTATAGCCCCCATATAAAGGTACCTCCCGATATTCGGAATTTTAATGATTTTTGCCACATTTCTTCGCGGATTTGTTTAGAAATTGGTATTTTTTTGGTCCTAACGGGTTCTAGCTCTTTTGGCGAAACACTGTATGTATAGGTCTACGTTTTTGTATAGCCCCATATATCCGTATTTCCCAAAATTCGGTATTTTGATGATTTTTGGCACATTTTCCCATGAATATGTCTAAAACTAGGTATATGTGGGTCATAATGGGCTCTAGTGTTTCCTTTACACTAAGGTGGAGGGTATATAAAGTTTGGCTCGACCGAACTTAATGTTTTTTACTTGTTTGTCTTAAAACAGTTCCCGAAAAAACGAAATATATTGCTTTTATCGTCAGGCAAAATCCCATTATTGTTGTTTTTATAAAAACAACGTTTGTTTATGAGTAGAGAACGATGGTAATGTTTACCAGGGGGTAAGGCAGGGAATACCTAGGTTTCGGAAAGAGCCGCCAATCCTCATCAGTTCCCTTGTTTCTTGTCTAGGATATTCTCCCCAGAAGTTATTTAAAAAATAACTTCTATGACAAAAAAAAAACATTTTTTACCCAAGTGACGAGATCGTAAGCTCAATAGAAGAGGAACAAAAGAATTACATAAAACTAAAATTCTTTTGGAAAATCTTCTAAATCTTACAACCGCACTTATAACCATTTACATCTTTCTCCACTTGTTATGCTTTCGTTCAACCTGAACGAAGTATCATAACCATGTAAGTTTGTTTTGTCTGTAACAACAAAAAAGATGTAAAACAAGTGGAGAAAGATGTAAATGTTTATAAGTGCGGTTGTAAGATTTAGAAGATTTTCCAAAAGAATTTTAGTTTTATGTAATTCTTTTGTTCCTCTTCTATTGAGCTTACGATCTCGTCACTTGGGTAAAAAATGTTTTTTGTCATAGAAGTTATTTTTTAAATAACTTCTGGGGAGAATATCCCAGACAAGAAACAAGGGAACTGATGAGGATTGGCGACTCTTTCCGAAACCTAGGTATTCCCTGCCTTACCCCCTGGTAAACATTACCATCGTTCTCCACTCATAAACAAACGTTGTTTTTATAAAAACAACAATAATGGGATTTTGCCTGACGATTTTGCAACAACAAAATACTATGGTATCCCAAAAAAGCAAGCCAAACACTGTTCTATATTGCTTTTATTTAATTTATACGCTCCTGACTGTGACATACAGGGTGAGATGAAAAAACTGCAACCATCTTCAGACTGCTGTCATTTCTAAGCCACTCGTCCGACAGCTTTTAAAATTAATCCAGTGGCAGCTCATTTTATTGTTTACAAGTGTACAAAAGGATTTTTGTGAGAATTTTCCAGAAAAAAAGTTATTCGTGATGGAGTTCAAGCGTGATAGTGTGATTTCTTTATATTTGGTAAGAGCACTCCAGCATTTAAATGTGAATAAATCTTTTGTGTCTCGTACCATCGCAGTGGCCGAAAAATGGATCGTGAGCTGCACAAATCGCAATATTCCATTCGCCAAATATTAAAAATTAAGCTCAAGGGCTTTACCATTGAAATTCCAAAAAGTGCAAAAACTTACACCGCAACGGAAATAAAATAGACTCAAAAAAGCTAAAGATTTGCTTCCCTTGGCCGAAAGTGGTGAACTGCCGAATTTGGTTTTCTTCGATGAGAAAACATTCGTTGTCCAGCAGTTTGTAAACAAACGAAATGATCGTATTTCCTTGCCAAAGAGGTCAGCTGAAAATGTGCTCCTTCGGTTGGCCACCAGAACTCAAGCGCCGTCCATGGTAATGGTCTGGGCCGCCATAACAGCCGATGATCACTCTCCGCTCGTATTAATCGACCGTGACATCAGAATAAATGCCGAATATTATCGCGAAAACCTTGGACATTCCAAAAGTACTCAGCACCATCGCACGCGCCACCCAAGAATGGTTACAAAATGAGGTTCCTCGCTTCATTTCCAGCGCATAATGGCCACCAAAATCTCCGGATACCAATCCGTTGGACTATTGTGTCTGGAGTATTTTGGAAAGCAAGGTTGGCATTAAAAATACCAGTGTCGATCACCTCAATCAAGGGCTTCGCCGGGAATGGGCCAAAACACCGCAGAGCAACATTCGGGCAGCGTGAGTCGGTTTCATTGGTCGTTTAAAGGCCATAATTCGTGCCAAGAGGTGACCAATTCGAACAAATCTAAACTTATTCTAAAATTTGATGGTATTTCCGAAATTTTTTGCTTTCATTAAAAAAAAAAAATTAAAAGAAAATTAAAAATTACGACGTTTGACTTTGTTGCAGTTTTTTTTATCTCACCCTGTATGCTATATGACAATACAAAAATATACACATCAGTAAGAAAACGCAACAAATTTAGGTCCAATTTTGTATCCAGTGAATAGGCGCACACCGGATCCACTTTACACATCCTCCTCTTCTTCTTCTCATTACTGCGTTATTTTTTGAACAATTTTTTTTAACATCCTTATCCATATACTTTATTTCAGATGGCACTGGAACGCTACAAGATCAAGAGATTCCCATCTTTCGCATAGATGCCCGTACTGGTGTTATTGCAACACGCACCTCCTTGGATCGGGAGACTTCGGATAGTTACAACATTATAGTGACCGCATCGGATATGGCTTCGGCTCAGAGTGAGCGTAAAACAGCCACAGCCAGTGTTTTAGTAAAAATCCTGGATGACAATGATAATTATCCGCAATTTAGTGAACGCACCTATACAGTCCAAGTTCCGGAAGATCAGTGGGGCGACGATAATGTGGTGGCTCATATCCGGGCCACCGATGCTGATCAGGGGAATAATGCAGCGATACGTTATGCCATAATTGGTGGTAATACCCAATCACAATTTTCGATTGATTCAATGAGTGGTGATGTGAGTTTGGTAAAGCCCCTTGATTATGAAAGTGTTCGATCGTACCGTTTGGTAATTCGAGCTCAAGATGGCGGCAGTCCATCAAGAAGTAATACGACACAGCTGTTGGTTAATGTCATCGATACGAATGATAATGCACCGCGTTTCTACACATCCCAATTTCAAGAGTCGGTATTGGAAAATGTTCCCGTGGGTTATAATATTATCCGGGTTCAGGCATACGACAGCGATGAGGGTGCTAATGCTGAAATAACTTATAGCATTTCGGAACGAGATGATAATTTCCCATTGGCTGTGGATCCAAGGTCGGGTTGGGTGCATACCATTAAGCAATTGGATCGTGAGGAACAGAATCGTTATGCATTTCAAGTTATTGCCAAAGATGGTGGTGTGCCACCCAAATCAGCCAGTTCCACCGTGGTGATAACGGTACAGGACGTCAACGATAATGACCCGGTATTTAACCCAAAATATTATGAAGCCAATGTGGGAGAGGATCAACCACCGGGGACGCCAGTTTGTACTGTGACTGCCACAGATCCTGATGAGGATAGCCGTTTACATTATGAGATTACATCGGGTAATACCCGAGGACGTTTTGCCATAACCTCACAAAATGGTCGCGGTTTGATTACCATAGCCCAGTCGCTGGATTATAAACAGGAGAAGCGATTTTTACTGACCATAACAGCCACGGATTCGGGAGGAAGGGCCGACACCGCCACAGTGAACATAAATATTACAGATGCCAATAATTTTGCTCCGATCTTTGAGAATGCTCCCTATAGTGCATCGGTGTTTGAGGATGCTCCAATTGGCACCACGGTACTGGTGGTATCGGCCACTGACAGTGATGTTGGTATAAATGCCCAGATAACATACTCCTTGAATGAGGAAAGCATCAACGGACTGGGTAGTCCAGATCCATTTTCAATTAATCCCCAAACCGGAGCCATTGTGACCAGCGCCTTGCTGGACAGAGAGACAACCAGTGGTTATTTGTTGACCGTAACAGCCAAGGATGGTGGCAATCCCTCGTTGAGTGACACCACAGATGTGGAGATCAGTGTCACCGACGTCAATGACAATCCGCCACATTTTAAGAATCCCCTTTATCAGGCTTCCATTCTCGAAGATGCCCTAGTGGGTACATCAGTTTTGCAAATTGCAGCCACCGATCCAGATATTGGTCTAAATGGACGCATAAAATATTTGCTCAGTGATCGTGATGTGGAAGATGGTTCATTTGTGGTGGATCCCACCTCGGGTACCATACGTACCAACAAAAACCTGGATCGTGAAAGTGTGGCCATATACCATTTGACAGCCATTGCTGTGGATAAGGGATCACCGCCCATGTCGAGTACGGTGGAGGTCCAAATACGTTTAGAAGATGTTAATGATTCACCACCCACCTTCCCTTCGGATAAAATAACCCTCTATGTCCCGGAAAATTCTCCTGTTGGTTCGGTGGTTGGGGAGATACATGCTCATGATCCCGATGAAGGTATAAATGCCGTGGTCCATTACAGCATAATTGGCGGGGATGATTCGAATTCCTTTTCCCTGGTAACACGGCCGGGTTCGGAAAGGGCCCAATTGCTGACCATGACAGAGTTGGATTATGAATCGAATCGTAAACGTTTTGAATTGGTCATAAGGGCCGCCTCGCCACCCCTAAGAAATGATGCCCATGTTGAGATATTGGTCACCGATGTCAATGACAATGCCCCCGTTTTGAGAGACTTTCAGGTGATTTTCAACAACTTCCGTGACCATTTTCCAAGTGGAGATATTGGTCGGATACCAGCTTTCGATGCCGATGTCAGTGACAAGCTAACCTATCGCATACTATCCGGAAACAATGCCAACTTGATAAGATTAAATCAGACAACAGGCGGCCTAAGTCTGAGTCCCCAGCTGAACACGAATGTACCGAAATTCGCCACCATGGAGGTGTCGGTGACGGATGGCATTAACGAGGCCAAGGCCATAATGCAATTGGCAGTGCGTCTCATTACCGAGGATATGCTCTTCAATTCGGTAACAGTTCGCCTCAATGAAATGACGGAGGAGGCCTTTCTCTCGCCACTGCTGAACTTCTTTTTGGATGGTCTGGCCGCCATAATCCCCTGTCCCAAGGAGAACATTTTCATATTTTCCATACAGGATGACACCGATGTCACTTCGAGAATTTTGAATGTCAGCTTTTCGGCCAAACGTCCGGATGTATCGCATGAGGAGTTCTACACACCACAATATCTGCAGGAGAGGGTTTATCTGAATCGTGCTATCTTGGCTAGACTGGCCACCGTGGAGGTCTTGCCCTTCGATGATAATCTGTGTGTCCGGGAGCCATGCCTGAATTTCGAGGAATGTTTGACGGTTTTGAAATTCGGCAACGCCTCTGATTTTATACACAGCGATACGGTGCTATTTCGTCCCATTTACCCGGTGAACACTTTTGCCTGTTCCTGTCCCGAGGGTTTTACGGGGAGCAAGGAACATTATCTCTGCGATACCGAAGTGGATCTTTGCTATTCAGATCCCTGTCAAAACGGCGGCTCCTGTATGCGTCGAGAGGGTGGCTACACCTGTGTCTGTCCGCCCAGCCACACTGGAGTGAATTGTGAAACTGATATTAAAAAGCTGAAGCCTTGCATGTCGGACATCTGTGAGGGTGGTTTGTCCTGCATGAACAACTATATGACCAGCCAACCGCCGCCCTATACGGCAACATGTGAGCTGCGTTCCCGTTCGTTCTCACGCAACTCTTTCCTCACCTTTGAGAGCATGAAGCAGCGTCATCGTTTCAATATCAAGTTACGTTTTGCCACCGTCCATGAGAATGGTCTGCTGCTCTACAATGGGCGCTACAATGAGCTGCATGATTTTGTGGCCTTGGAAGTAGTGCAGGGTCATGTCACATTCACTTTCTCGCTGGGCGATCGCAGTGAAAAGGTGGCTGTTTTCCAGCAGAGAAAAGTATCTGATGGCCAATGGCATGATGTGGAGGTAAATTATTTGAATCGCACAGTGACCCTGATTGTGGACTCCTGTGATACAGCCGTGGCCTTGGCGGGCAATTTTGGCGACAAGTGGAACTGTGCCAATCAAACCACATTGAAATTGGATAAACGCTGTTCCCTGCTAACCGAGACCTGTCATCGTTTTTTGGATCTAACCGGACCCCTGCAGATTGGTGGTCTGCCACGCATTCCGGCCCATTTTCCCATTGAAAATCAAGATTATGTGGGTTGTATTTCCGATTTGAGAATTGATGAACGTTACATCGATTTGAATTCCTATGTGGCAGATAATGGCACGATTTCAGGATGTCCTCAACGTAACCCACTGTGCTCTTCGGAACCCTGTTTCAATGGTGGTGCCTGTCACGAGGGCTGGAATACCTACACATGTGAATGTCCTGAAGGTTATGCCGGCAATAATTGCCAGGAAACCATACCCGCCCCCTGGCGTTTCTCCGGAGATGGTAGCCTAAGCTTCAATCCCCTGCTCAGGCCTATACAAATGCCTTGGGTCACATCGCTGGCCATAAGGACCCGTCAACGCAATGCCTTCCTGATACAAATACAAATCGGACAAAACAGCTCGGCAGTGGTATGTCTCAAGGATGGCATTTTATATTATATCTTCGATGGTGAACCCATGTTTTTGGCTGGAGCCTTTTTGGCCGATGGCGAATGGCATCGGGTGGAGATAAAATGGATGGGTTCGGAAATATTGTTTTCAGTAGATTTTGGTCAGCGCACAGGAGCGGTGCCCATATCACAAAAAATCCAAGGCCTGTATGTGGGCAAAATTGTCATCGGCAGTCCGGATAGCTCCATTGGTCATGTGGATGATTTGCTTTCCTACGAGGGTTGCATACAAGAGGTACGCATTGGAGCCTCCCAAGCGGTGTTGTCCAGGCCCACTATTCGTGAAAATGTTGAAGATGGTTGCCTGTCCAAGGCCGAGTGCCCGGTGACATGTCCCCCGCATTCGAGCTGTACCACTTCCTGGGATCATGCGGAGTGTGAATGTTTGCCAGGTTATGTGGGGCCCGATTGTCTGCCAATATGTACGGTGAAACCCTGTATGGCCGGAGTGTGTCGTGCCAATATCTCAGAGCCCAAGGGCTATCATTGTGAATGCAATTCCACCTATCAACATGGAGAATATTGTGAAAAGACGGTTCAGCAACCCTGTCCAGGAGGATGGTGGGGTGAAAAGGTATGCGGCCCCTGTAAATGTAATGTCAAGCAGGGCTATCATCCCGATTGCCACAAGACCACCGGCCAATGCCATTGCAAGACAAATCATTATCAGCCAATAAATGAGACCGCCTGTATACCCTGTGACTGCTACTCCATTGGATCGTTTAACAGTGCCTGTAATCCGCTGACGGGTCAGTGTGAATGCCGGGAGGGGGTAATTGGTCGTCGCTGTGATTCCTGCTCTAATCCCTATGCCGAGGTCACCCTAAATGGTTGTGAAGTGGTCTACGATGCCTGTCCCAGATCTTTTGCAGCCGGAGTATGGTGGCCTAGAACCCCCTTGGGCAGTACAACAGTGGAGAACTGTCCCACCCCCTCCAAGGGTAAGGGTCAGCGGACATGTGACAGTTTGTCGGGTGGATGGAATATTCCCGACATGTTCAATTGTACCTCCGAGCCATTTGTGGAGCTACGCAAACAACTTTCCCAGTTGGAAAAATTGGAACTGGAATTGAATTCCTTTGTGGCCATAAAGACGGCGGAAAATCTACAGAAGGCCTGTACCACAGTGGATCGTAGTTCCAAGGTCCATAAGAAACCGTTGACCAAAGATCATCGGCGCTATAAAATGGAATCTTCTTTCCTGCTGAATGAAAACAACAATGTATGGTCACATGAACTGGAAATGGAATATCTTTCGGATGAAATGAAATTCTCCCATGATCGTCTGTATGGGGCAGATCTCTTGGTCACAGAAGGTTTGCTGCAGGAACTCATAAATTATGAACTCATGCAGAATGGTTTGAATTTAACCCACTCCCAGGATAAATATTTCATCAAAAATCTCGTGGAGGCAGCCAGTGTTATTTTGGATCGTAAATACACGGCCGAATGGAAGAGGGCCTCAGAACTGATACAACGTGGCCCCGATGACCTGCTGGATGCCTTCAACAAATATATGGTCATATTGGCTAGATCCCAACATGATACCTATACGAATCCCTTTGAAATTGTACAGCCTAACATGGCTTTCGGGTTGGATATTGTAACGGCCGAGTCGTTGTTCGGTTATGAACCCGAACAGCTGAGCGAATATCATAAAACGAAATATTTCAAGCCGAATGCCTTTACCACGGAGAGTATTATTTTGCCCGATACCAGTGGATTCCTGCAACATTCGGCCAAGCAGAAACCGGTTATTACCTTCCCCAAATACAACAACTACATTCAGGATAAAAGTAAATTTGATAAATACACCAAGGTTCTGGTACCGTTGGATATGTTGGGCATTACACCACCCGACAGCAATGAGGTGACCTACGGGACAAATGACTACAAGGCCATAATATCCTATGCCCAGTACAAGGATGTGGGTCAATTGCTGCCGGATATGTTCGATGAAACCATCACCCGACGCTGGGGTGTTGACATTGAGGTGGCCTCACCCATCTTGTCGCTGGCCATATTGGTGCCTTCTACCGAGGCCGAGGAGAAACGCATAGAAATCCCTTATCGTAAAATCTCATCACAGAAAACCTATTCGGCCACTGGATCCAGTGAACAGGAATTCATTGAGGTCTTTGATGTGCCCAAGAAACATGGCGGCAGTGGGAGTCAGGCCAGCTCGAATTCGGCTAGTGAGGAGCATATGATTGAAAATATACGCATAACAGCTCATGAGATTCCACCAGCATCGTCGTCGTCCTCGGGCACCTCCTCTTCGAGGGAGCATGACAGTAACGAGGCCATGGAAATAGAAGATCCCGAAGAGCCTCATTTGAATGTACGCTTCGATGACAACATTGAATTCCATGGCAATTCGGGAGAAGAGGTCATCAACTCCCCCGAAGATATGGGCCACTATGATCAATCCCAGGAACAACATGAACATTCCCAGGAACATGAGGACTTGAATCCTGGCAAAGGAGAAAATGAAGCATTCTATCGCAATCGTCGTTTGGTCAAACGCCAGGTTGAGGTCATCTATCCCAGTGAACAGTCACAAAAGTCTCAACACATTTCCTATCGCTCGCTGGGCTCGCCACATCTCTCACAGCCCATCAAACTGCAAATGTGGCTGGATATTGAGCCAGGACGTTTTGGACCCCGTTCCAATCCTCAGTGTGTCCGTTGGAATTCCTTTACCAATCAGTGGACACGATTAGGCTGTCAAACTGATATACCGGATTATGACAACATTCATCTGCTGCAGGTTCCCAGCAATGCGAATCGGGGTGATGGTGCTGCTGCAACACTCCAACCACCACCCATCATTGTCAATTGCACCTGTACGCACATCTCCAATTATGCCGTCATTGTTGATGTCATCGATCCCGAGGACATACCCGAACCCTCGCTGCTCGTTCAAATCACTTCATATTCAGCATTCCTCGTCTCACTGCCCGTCCTCCTGAGCGTTCTGATTGCACTCGCTCTGTTACGTGGCCAACAGACCAACTCGAATACCATTCATCAGAACATTGTCCTGTGTGTCTTCTTTGCCGAATTGCTGTTCTTTGTCGGCATGCAATCACGTCGTAATTTGCTCGAAAACGAATTCCCCTGCAAACTGATTGCGATTTGTTTGCATTATTTCTGGTTGGCCGCCTTCGCCTGGACGACGGTGGACTGTGTGCACTTGTATCGGATGCTAACGGAGATGCGTGATATTAATCATGGTCCGATGGGTTTCTACTTTGCCATGGGTTATGGTGCGCCCGCCATTGTTGTGGGCCTGTCGGTGGGTGTGCGTGCTCACGAATATGGAAATAGTCTGTTGTAAGTATTAACCGGAATTGCCAATACGAAGAAGCAAAGCCAAACACACACATACACACACTAGAAAAAATTGTTGATTGATTTGGGAGTATTTCTTTGCGATTTTCGTTTTTTTTTTTTTTTTTTTTTGAGAATGTGTGTGATGTGCTGTGGAAAGCATCTAAGAAAATTCATTCATTTGCAGGCCTAAAAGTAGAACTTGATCTGGATTAGAATGCAGTGCAATGCAAAGAACATTTGCATTGTACATGAGCGTGTAACAGAATCAATCGATTCGAAACTAGTTAATGATGGGCAATTTTAGGTTGAAGAACATCCTACCAATTTGGGCAATACAAAAGGAAAGGAAATGTATTGAGATTTGCCGGCTTTAAAGTCGATTTTGTAAATGGTACCCTGGTGCGTATACGGATAATGAGTATACGATCCAGATACCAGTTGTTTTTATTTCAATAAGAGACTCATTTGTTTATGCAAGGAAGATAAGGTGGTCAAGATACACATTTCTCGCTCAGGTTTTGAAAAGCATTAAGCTCGTAGCAGGATCTTGCTTTTTTAGAGAACTTATTTTCTTTAGAGATAATAAGTATTATAGCATATTGCGGAAGCAAACAAAATATTAGAGGAAAATCCAGCAGATTATAAAAGTAGAGCTAAAAAAGAAGATACGTCTATCGATGATTTTAAAGTTTGCATCGAAAAGTTACCAAAATAGAGGGGGGAAGTTCCCCCCTCGTCTACACTTTGTTAAATTAAGATTCCTCGAAATTCGTGCATTTTAGACATTCGTATGTTTGACAATATTGAAAACAAACCAGTAAAGACAGTCTTAAAGTCGGGCGGAGCCGACTTTATGATACCCTACACCACTTTGCTAATTTAGTTGAGCTCCACATAACAATTAAAAGTTTTTATTGGAGAATTCAATCATACACGCTATGATTATAATTATAATTTAAAATTCAAAGGACTAAAGCATTTGTATCTTTTTAATTCGGACTTGTATTTCCCATTTGGTGCGAAATTAATTTGAAATCGGATAAAAATATATATGGGAACTACATCCAAATCTGAACCGATCTCGATAAAATTTGGCAAAGATATTTCTGAGCTGTATTTGATAGATTTCCCTGAATATCTTTGTTACGGAGTGCATATGACAAATATGACAAATCGGATGAACAGTATATATGGGAGCTATACATATATCTGAACCGATCTTCACCAAATTTGAAATACTAGCTTCTAGACTCAAGTGCCAAATTCCGTAAGTGCCAAATTCCGTCCCATTTAGACAAATATTAGACGTTTGGTGCACAATAAAAGGTAAATTGGACGAAGTTATATATGGAAGCTATATCCAAATCTGAACCGATCTCGATAAAATTTAGTAAATGCGTTTCTGAGCTGTATTTGATATATTTCCCCAAATATTGTTGTTGCAGAGTGCATATTACGGCTGCAGAGGGCAAAAATAACAAATCGGATGAACAATATATATGGGAGCTATGGCTATATCTGAACCGATTTCGATCAAATTTGGCATACTTATGTTCAGGCCTAATCTGGGTGTATATGAAAAATTCCACACAATTCAGGCTGATATTACACGTTTGGTGCACAATAAAGTGCAAATCGGACGAAGATATATATGGGAGCTATATCTATCTTTCGACCAAACAAATGATCTGTGCAAAATTTCATCTGGATCGGGCAATAAATGCGACCTGTACTTTGTTTACAAAAATACATGGACAGACGGACGGACGGACGGACATGCATAAATCGACTCAGAATGTGATTCTATGCAGACCATCAAAAGGAACTATGGGTCTATCTCGTTTCCTTTTGCCTGTTACAAACAAATGCACAAAGCCATAATACCCTGACCACCTTGTGGTGTAGGGTATAAAAAATGGATTTATCGGGTGAGATAAAAACTGCAACAAAGTCAAATGCCATCATTTTCACATTTTTTTTTTTTATTCTATTAAATGAAAACAAAAAATGTCGGAAATATCATCAAATTTTAAAATAAATTTAGATTTGTTCGAATTGGTCACATTTGGCACGAATTATGGCCTTCAATTGGCCAATGAAACCGTCGCAAGCTACCCGAATGTTGCTATGCGGTATTTTGGCCCATTCCCGACGAAGCGCTTGCTTGAGGTGATCGACACTTTGGTATTTTTTAGTGCCAACCTTGCTTTCCAAAATACACCAGCCACAATAATCCAACGGATTGGTATCCGGAAATTTGGTGACCATTGTGCGCTGAAAATGAAGAGAAAAACCTCATTTTGTAACCATTCTTGGGTGGCGCGTTCTGAGTGTGAGTGATGGTTGCTGAGTTCTGTTGGAATGTGCAAGGTCTGCGGCCAAAATGTTTGCTTGCCCAAAGCTTTAATACACCCTCCAGAATATTTTCGCGACAATATTCGGCATTTATTCTGATGCCACGGTCAATTAATACGAGTTGAGAGCGACCATCGGCTGTTATGGCGGCCCACGCCATCAGCATGGTCGGCGCTTGAGTTCTGGTGGCCAACCGTAGGTGCACATTTTCAGCTGCACTTTTCTGTGGCAAGTAAGCCCGATCAGTTTGTTTGTTAACAAACTGCTGCTGCAAACTGCTGGAGAAACCCAAATTCGGCAGTTCACCACTTCCGGCCAAGCCAAGCAACTCTTTAACTCTTTTGAGTCTATTTTCTTTCTCTTGCAGTGTAAGTTCTTGCATTTTTTTAGAATTTCAACGGCTTTACCCCGAGCTCATTTTTCAATATTTGCCAAATGGAATATTGCGATCAATTTAGATCACGAGCCATTTTTCGGCCACAGCGACGCGTGTTTCGATCAAGTCGCTCCTTTTCTTTTCGAACAATTTCTGGTTTCGTCCACTTCCTTGACGTCGGGCTGCGCTACCATACCACGATATATGAAATCCAATTTAGATAAGATTTAGAATCTTAACGTCTTCTAGGACCTAGAGTAGAATTTTATGACAAATAAGTTTTGTGTTATATTTTGACTTGCTACAATCCCGTTTAAAGGAAGTTTATAACCATATTATAAAAAAAAGAATCAAAAAGTCCTCATCTTTGACACGCTTGAGGGTTAAAATTTTCGACCAATATATTCGCCTTATTTTCATCTGCAATATTGCCGAAGACATTGTATAGCTGAAATGCACGGACTCCGAGGATTTTTAATCTGAAAATGTCCAAGAATGAGAAAAAGGGGAGATCATGTCTCCTCTGTTTGCTTACTTTTCGGTCTAAACTTTGAATCACCGATACACTTTTTTACTCCACATTTATACTTTGCTGGATTTTCCCCGAAATTATTGAAAATTGAATTTTGGTGATGGTCCCAACATCGTGAATAGCATGGCCATATTTCTGGCTTGTGGTGACGATAACTGTGGAAGAGATTATCCGATTTTGTCCAAAGTTGGAGTTTAGCTCAGCTTAATGGCTCTAACACTCTTAAATCTGTACTAATCTAGTTTTACAATTTTTTCACCCCAATCTTTTTCCATATTTTCTCCCCCTTTGCAGCTGCTGGTTATCTGTCTACGAACCTGTTGTCTGGTGGCTTGTTGGTCCAATTGCTGGAATGTCTGTGGTTAATTTACTCATACTCTTCGTATCCGTAAAAGCGGCATTTACCCTGAAAGATCATGTGTTGGGTTTTGGCAATTTACGTACCCTTTTATGGCTTTCGGTGGTATCTCTACCCCTGATGGGTGTTATGTGGGTGCTGGCCGTACTGGCAGCCTCCGAAAGTTCTCAACTGCTAAGTATGTTACTATCCGGTGTGGTGGTATTGCATGCAGTTTTTTGTCTCGTCGGCTACTGCATTATCAACAAGAGAGTAAGAGAAAATCTACAAAGGACCTTCCTGAGATGCATGGGACGTAAGGTACCTCTGCTGGATTCCTCGATGGTGGTCAGTAATAGTTCGCACAATGTCAATGGGACCAATGCGAGGCCCAATAACTTTCTCAACGCCAATGGTTATGATACACAGCGCCGAAACGTGGGTATAAGTGTTTCCAGTACCACATCGCGCAGTACCGCCAAGACCAGTTCCAGTCCATACAGGTAAGAAGAAGAAGAAAATTTGCTAACATTTTTTTATACATTTAATTTGTTCATTCTCTTCCCCCTTCACAGCGATGGCCAGTTGAGACAAACCTCAACTTCCACCTCGAATTACAACTCCAATTCTGATGCCCCCAGTTTCTTGCGGGGTTTTGACTCATCCACCACCAGTGGCCAGAGGGAGGGCAAGTCCCGGCGACATCATCGCAAAGATTCCGACTCCGGCTCTGAGACTGATGGTCGTTCGTTGGAGTTGGCCTCTAGCCATTCTAGTGATGATGATGAGTCCAGAACTAATCGTTCTTCTACCACCGGCACAGCCACCAGCACCCATCGCAGTACTGCCGTAAGCATAACTCCTTCCTATCTGCCCAACATCACCGAGCATGTCCAGGCCACCACCCCGCCAGAGCTGAATGTCGTACAAAGTCCTCAACTCTTCCCGAGTGTCAATAAACCTGTCTATGCTCCCAGATGGTCTAGTCAACTGCCAGATGCTTATCTGCAATCCCCACCAAACATGGGTCGTTGGTCACAAAACACCGAATCAGATAATGAACACATACAACATCATGGTCAGAAAATGACCATCTCACCCAATCCCCTGCCCAATCCTGATCTCACTGATACCTCATATTTACAACAACATCACAACAAAATCAATATGACACCATCGATATTGGAGAATTTGCAAAATGCTCGACCCTCGGAAAGTTATGATGCCTTGGAAAGGGAAAGTCTGTATGGCAGAAGGCCGGACAACTATGGTCAGTATGATACCATGCCACCGAATATAACGAACTACAAGCCTCCCAGTCATTATGGCAGTGAGCATGATTACAGTGGCAGCAATGGAAACAACAGTAATGGTACAGGCAGCGGAGGTGGTGGTGGTGGGGGTGGCAGCTCCAATGGCAATGGTGGCACACAGATTGTCAATCACATGAGAACCTTTAACAATGACAATGCCTATCTCAGCGATAGCATCTACGATAAGCAGAGAACTCTTGGCTCCCCATATATGTCCAAAGATCGCATTGCTCCCGATATTTATGGGTCGCGAGAGAATCACTATAGTCTGAAGAAACATCAACCACCTCCCATGTATGGTACCGATTCCGTGCATTCGGTACATTCCCTGCTGCGCAATGACTATCACCAACAACAACAACAGCAGCAGCAACAACAAAGACTGCATCATCAAGATCATCATTCGGATCGTTTATCGGAAAATTCCGATAAGAATGGTTATCATTTTCCCTATACCGCCGAGGAGGATCACCTGACAACAAATGCCAGAAAACTAAGTCTACAACATTCACATTCGCCATCGCTGCATGGCGGCTCACAACAGATCCTCAATGGGCATCATCCGCATCATATGGGGCCACAGGGTATGGTAAATGATATCAATAATCCTGGACTGATGGGAAGACATACCCTGAATGGCTCTCGCCATAGTTCCAGAGGTTCATCACCACCCACATCAAGTATAGCACCCATGCAGCCACTGGCACCCTTGACCAGTATTACCGACACAGAGTGAGTACTGTTTTCGAGTTTGAAATGGTTTTGGGAATTTAGAATAAATTATCCATTTTTTTATTATTTTTTTTAGTTGCTTCCACATAATGCATATTTTTTTGGTTTAAAAAAAGTTTACATAGTTTTTGGTTAGAGATTTTAATTTTACGAGGAAAGTAAAGCCAAAGAGGATTTCTGTGGGGTGCTAGTTACTTTACGATACACCAGAAACTATCCAAAAAAATAATTTTTTTAAAAATATATTTTCAAAACTTTTTGCAAAAAAGAGGGCTAATATTGAACAAATTGTTGTTGGAAAAGAACCTATAATGCTGAAGTACAACCAAATCCGTTGAAACATTAAGAGTGAAACGAACCGAATAACCCGAATCACGATAAAGTTGTGAGACACGAGTTCATGTGTTCACGATTTTTAAACTATATTACAAGAGCCAAAACTTTATTCAGAGAGCAAATCAAATTCTAAAACGTTTGGATAAGATATGAGCTTGACAAAACAACCCCGTGAGCAACAATTGACTTCCTCTGATTTTACTTTCCGGCTCTGCTTTGTCGACAATCGCTACACGTATATTATCCGGTCAGACAGCCTGAGAGAATTGCCTTTTTCGGCCACTTTAACTTGAAGATTGGGGTCTTGTGGTTTCCTTATGTGCCTTTCCAGGCCTTGGCCTATATGGGCTTTTGAAACCGACCTGCACACAATCGTCTTCCTGACAGCCGGTGGCGCAGGCGCTAGCAAAAAGGCTTGACAAATCAACGATTTCTTGGCCTCGGGATACGGCCTCTCAGTAGACCGTCTTCTCTTTAGGATTGCACGTGAAGAGGATTTTGTTTCCTTCGAAATCATCTTTTTGCCTTGGGTTTTCTGATTTTTTTGCAAAAGCTATAGTCTCCGAGGGGAAGACGCATGGTTCCGCTGTTGGTATGATAATGGGAGAATTATTATTTCGATCAAGAGAAAACTTTGGTTGTTGTAGTTGTAGCAGCTCATAGTGCTGTGTTCGTTCTGACTTCTTTAAATCGGGTTCTGCTTCTAAGTCCACTCTCAAAAAGGGTGCAACCTGTACGGGTTGAGTCCACAACGAAACTGGAGTTAGGTGAGTCGGTTTGACTTGGCAGCGAAATAGGTGCAGCGAGTCATGTGGACCTGTGCCACAAGCTGAGCAAATGTTCTGCACATTGCTGTCAATCCCGGCCCAATAGGGGGATGGGAGGTGGATGGTCTCCTAGAACAGTATTTACTCTATATCCTTCCAAAAGTTCTGAGACCGCATTAGAGTAAATACTATTCAGTGTCGCTTGATAGGCCTGTTGATCTAGAGGCTCTCTCTTTTATACCTTTGTACCTCTATCACTAGATCATGCAGGTCTTTCCTTACGTGCCTGGGCGGGGGTTGTTTATCCACCAGGTGGTGTTTCGGATAGCTCTGTCTGTAACACCCAAGCAGTTATTGCATTGACAGCAGAGGTTAGAAGATTAAGAGATGAAAATTTAACACAGACCTCGGAAGAGCAAAATGCTTTTTTGGTCGGTATAGCCTAGACATGTTGCTCCCCTCAAGTATGCTCGGAAAGATGTAGAGAGATATACCAAGAATTTTAAACGTGAGTCGCAAGATCAACAGATCTGTCAGACATGTCTAAATGGCATAACACAGACATTAGAACGCTACAGAGTGAACTAAGGTTTCAGAGTCGAGCCTCCAACGTAAATAGAGGGAGCAAGTTCCCCCTCTTCAACACTTTTAGACAATTTCGGATTAATATTCCTCAAAATTCGTGCATTTCAGTTATATAGTGTCTTCGGCAATATTGCAGATAAAAATACGAGGAATATTTTGGTCGGGGTCATGTTGGTCCTTTCTTTAAAATATGGTTAAAAACTCCCTTTAAACGGGATCGTAGCAAGTCAAAATATTCCAAATATTTGTCATAAAATTTTTATGGGTCCTAACCTTAATGCCAGTGATTCATATATATTAAAAATCAAATTTCAATTTTTATAAAGAATATTTCTGTGGTAGACGTCATCCTTCCAAGATGATGATTTGTTGGAGATTTGAGCACAATCTCACACAAAGTATGGCTTTAATGTTACATGAATTCCTTGCTAGGTAGGATTTAGACCCTTGACATCTTCAAGGACCTATAGTTGAATTTTATGAAAAATAATTTTGTGGAATATTTTGACTTGCTACGACTCTGTTTAAAGGGAGTTTTTAACAATATTTAAAAAAAGGACCACAAAAGACCCCTTCGATGACTCGCTAGGGGATTACAATTTTCATTGGAGCCCCTTCCCCTAAAATGGTTTCAAAATACATATATAAACAATTCTCTGGTGTGTCCACAACTAATTTTTTATCTGATTGCAATAATCTTTTCAGCAGCTTGTAAGGCAAATCCCTGCAGATTAATGACAACAATTAATTTCTCTAATTAATTTTCGTAAAAAAAAACAAAAATGGTACATTTAAACTTTGTCAAATCCTTTGTCGCTTTACTTTCCCTTTTTTGTGGGTTTTCTTTTTTATAACTATCTCCAAAGATCTTGGAATTTAATTAAAACGCATATTTTTTCGGGGTCTTACGCTTTTGTTATTGGTGTCTAGTTAAAAAAAAAAAAACATATTTAACTTCTACTTCCATTACACTTGTTTATCCTCTGGGTTGGTTGGTTTTTTTATTATTTTGTATTTTTTACGATTTTATTTACATTGTAGTTACTTTATGTTGTTGTTTTGTTTTGTTTTGTTGCTTTTTCGTTGTAATAAAAATTACTTACTGTTTTTTCCCTCGTTGTTGAAGAAATCTAATCTAAACAACATCAAGAACAAGAATACCAAACCATTCATTCATTCATCCATAAAATGAAAACACACTCAATTTCTTTTGGTTGTGTTCATTTTCTTATGTTTCCCTCTTTTTTCTTCTTCTTCCTGTTTTTTCCTCTTTCTTTTTTTAACGAAATCATAAAATACGCTTGCCTTCCATAAAAATGTGTGTGTGGATGTGTGTGCGTGCGTGCATCTGTGGAATCTCTCCTCTTTTTTATGGGAAACTATAAAAAAAAATCCTTTCATATCATGATCATCATCATCATCATCGTCATCATCAATCCTACAACAAAACAAACGAAATGAATACCAAATAACAACAACGAAAACAAACAAACAACCCAACCAACCATCCAACGAACCCAAACAACATCCTGTTTTCCATGCCATTAAACACTTACACTTATATCCGACAATACCAACATACATTCATTCAAACGCACACTACTCTCCCCCTTTGTTCATTGGCTCAACCGTTCAACAACAAAACCGTATTTCCTGTTGTAATATGCATTAACTCACACATACACACACGTACTTCCGTTTTCCGTTACCACTACCAACCAAAAATGAAAAAAAAAAAAACAAACAACATCAAACAAATACCCCTTTTTGGTTCTCTCATTCCCATAATCATCAACTAAACGAAATTACCAAATATCCACGTCCAATTTTTTGCTGGTAACAAAAATGTAATGGATACTCTTCGGACCCCCCTCCATACCCTTCTTTTGGCCATCCCTCTTAACCCCATACTCCAACAATGTGACCCTTTCAAATACGCCAATGAAAACAACAATAAATTTTCTTGTTGTGTTTCCATCATTTCCATGTTGTTTATTTTCTTCCGTTTTCCTGTGTTTCGCATTGTTGTTTATGGTCCGGCATTTTTGTTATTTACATCACGGTCCCCTATTTTGTGTTCCCTCTTTATTCCGATCTTCCCCCCGTTTTCTTGGGCTAAACAGCGGCAGCCATGGGTCATGGACCTGGGATCGTTTAAAACAAATCTAATCATAAACCTTCTCTCTCTATATTCTCTGTTTCTCTTCATCTGCTTTTGCAACTGTATGCAATTATGGTTGTGCTACACAAATGTGTATGTGTGTGTGTTCAATACAAACAACAACAACAACACCAACTACTACAATGGTAAATGGCAAAATCAACACACAACAACTAAATGCTATATTTACTTATGCCGGACTCTCGAATACACAAATTACATCTCTATTTGACTCTCACGCCTCTCTCTGAAACGAAATAACGCTCTGTAATCAACACAAATACAAACACATTTGGGCTTTAACAATTAAACACTTGGTTGGAACAAATCATGGCAAATTGACTCTTAACTACTGGCCTTTTGACATAACCAAACAAACTCAAATCCACACACACATACATACACACACTCACAAATATATTGTAAAACGTGGCTCCACAATGGGTTAAACTGCTTGCTCTTTACTCTATGCTGACTAATAATGGATAATGGACAACAAACAACAACCCCCGACATCATGGTCCCCATGAACAAATGGCTGGGGCTAAACGAATTTGCTGCAACAATTGTCTCTAATTTACTAATAACATAACAACAACAACGACAACAACTACTACTACTACTGCAAATCTTTGCTATCCTACTACAACTGCTATCCTTTCAACTATGGCCTCTCCATTTGAAACCTGGGCCTGGGACACCTTATAACAATAACAACAACAACAATCATTTAAATAAACTAAATTTATTTGCCTTTGCTACTACTACCAACAACTACAACCTAACATACAACACACATACACAAATTATGCCTATGTGTGTGTACAATGTCCTTTCTACAAAAATAAAACACACACACACCTCATACATATACAAATTCGCTCCACACACATACCCTCATCATTATTATCATCATCATCACCATCGACGTTATGTGTGTGTGTGTGGTGCGTGTGTATGTGTGTGAACACTTGCAGATCAGAGGTAAACCACAAATTCATTTAACTTTTTAATCTAATAAACTAATCTCATTTATTTGTTAGTCGTATTTGTTTATACTCCATACACCACCATTCTAACCCCCCTTTGAAATTCCTCCTTTCTCCTCCCCCCCAATACACTAACCACATTGCAAAGTATATTTGTATTTT